TTCTTGCAATACATCAATTGTGTATATATATATTAATTTTCAAAGGAGTTTAGTGTACTTAAAATAGCATTAATATTGCTGGATTTTGGCAAATGCATTCTTAGCCCAAACACAGAATAGAAGAAGGAGAGCAGAAACACAGAAAAAGAGAAGTCTTTTAAGACAACAACAAAATCACAAATGCAGTCGCTCCAAGAAAGAATGAGAACAACCTAAAGCAGAGGAAAGGAAGGCCGACGTCCGAAGCTTCCCCTCTCTTGTTCCAGGGAGAGTTCGCTTGGCCGGCGGCTGCCATCGATGGCGGCGACGTCGAAATCAATGTCGGAGAACGACGAGGAGACGACGTGTGCGCGTCGCCCCCCCGAGCAGCAGCGGCGGCAAAGGCGGCAGGTGCCGCGCCCGACCCGCCAGGCGGCGACGAGCGGGGGCTTGACGCAACACCACAGCAGCATCAGGGGGCAGCAGACGCACAGCGTGCAGGCGCCGACGGCACATTCGGCTGCCGCATGGCAGCACCGCGAGGAGGCCTCCGGCGGAGGCGGCGGCGGCGGAGGAGGGGGCCGGGGTGTCGATCGAGGGCGAGCGCCTTTCCTTCCCATCGCTTGAAACGGGTTCGGAAGAGAGTGGAATCTTATTCTTTGACAAAATTGTGCATACATACATACATACATACATACATATATATATATAGGTTAATGAGAATATATTGTTATATAAGTTTATGTTTAGGTGTATAAGTAAAATCTAAAACCGTAATGTGAATCCACTCGTAGTTAATACCCAACGAGTTGACAGTTGCTTGAAGCAGATACATCGATTCTTCAATTAATGTTGATTTCGTTGATTGATATAATACAAAAGAGACTAAGGATATTTTTACGTATTTTATAGATTTTTAGTACATGTTAACCCTTTAAAAACTCTTTGTTTGATTGACGCAATGCAAATGATACTAAGGATATTTTTAGATATTTATTTTTTTAATGCAATTGTGTTTTTATGAATGAAGGGATAGAATAACAAAATATTTATATCTGATGATATAAATGTAATTAGATTATGCGAATCGATTAAAGTTAAATATAATATTATTAAAAATAATACAAAATATTTAGGGTGATTTTTTTAAAAAAATTGTTTCGACTTTTCTTGATACCTCCATTTTAATTTTTTTTGTTTAATTTGGTGTCTCATTTTTCGATGTCACTTATTGTCCGTCACTTCTATCTTATCTCTTCGCCCTATCGTCTCCGTGTGATTGTCTTTATTTTATCGTTTCGATTCCCATCATTTTGTCTCCCTCATGATTATATCCTTTCCCTTTGATGATAAGATCACAAATGAGCACAAGTCAAAACAAGAAAGGAAGTAATTATGGCAAGATCTATCGCTTCAACCCCAGCATTGTCCACACTCTAAAGGTGAGAGAGGGCAAGGAGTTAACCAAGGCAAGATGAAAGCAACAAGTAATATATGACTACAATGGACATTTAGGGCATTAAAAGAAAACAAAGGCATCAAATGAAAAAACTAAAAATGGAGCGAGAAAAAAAAAATCTTTCAAACAATTACTTAAATATTTAAATATTTTATTTAATAAAATAATGCATTAAGCAAATTAATTATAATAGTGAACAAAGTTCCATGTAGCCAACCTCATATATATATATATGTATATATATACATATATATATGTATACATATGTATATATATACATATATATACATATATATATATATACATATATATATATATATACATATATATATATATATGTATATATATGTATATATATGTATATATATATATATGTATGTATGTATATATGTATATATGTATATATATACATATATACATATACATATATATACATATATACATATATACATATATATATACATATATACATATATATATACATAT